AGTACTTGGTGCCACTTTGTGGCGGTGGAAGAACAGATGGGGCCATGACGTCCAAGCCATCGTAGTCCGAAAACATAGGGTGTCCCAAGCGAACCTTCTGTTGTAAAATGAGCCAGAGAAATCGGTGCCTATGCATAGAAAGCTCAAAGTTTCACCAAATGCACGATCAGCTCAGTTTTACTGTGTGAAGATTCAAGGCATAGTTCTCTTTCTGTAAAAAACGAGAGCAAAAAAGCCGTCATTAGTGCCTTCCTTAAGGTTAGACCTCCGCTTGCATTTGGCCACTTTCTATCAGCTTGAGAATCGCTGCCTTCTTTTCTAGCATTATGATCAAGTACTTGGTGCCACTTTGTGGCAGTGGAAGAACAGATGGGGCCATGACGTCCAAGCCATCGTAGTGCGAAAACATAGGGTGTCCCAAGCGAACCTTCTGTTGTAAAATGAGCCAGAGAAATCGGTGCCTATAGAAAGCTCAAAGTTTCACCAAATGCACGATCAGCTCAGTTTTACTGTGTGAAGATTCAAGGCATAGTTCTCTTTCTGTAAAAAACGAGAGCAAAAAAGCCGTCATTAGTGCCTTCCTTAAGGTTAGACCTCCGCTTGCGTTTGGCCACTTTCTATCAGCTTGAAAATCGCTGCCTTCTTTTCTGGCATTATGATCAAGTACTTGGTGCCACTTTGTGGCAGTGGAAGAACAGATGGGGCCATGACGTCCAAGCCATCGTAGTCCGAAAACATAGGGTGTCCCAAGCGAACCTTCTGTTGTAAAATGAGCCAGAGAAATCGGTGCCTATGCATCACCAAATGCACGATCAGCTCAGTTTTACTGTGTGAAGATTCAAGGCATAGTTCTCTTCCTGTAAAAAACGAGAGGAAAAAAGCCGTCATTTGTGCCTTCCTTAAGGTTAGACCTCCGCTTGCGTTTGGCCACTTTCTATCAGCTTGAGAATCGCTGCCTTCTTTTCTAGCATTATGATCAAGTACTTGGTGCCACTTTGTGGCGGTGGAAGAACAGATGGGGCCATGACGTCCAAGCCATCGTAGTCCGAAAACATAGGGTGTCCCAAGCGAACCTTCTGTTGTAAAATGAGCCAGAGAAATCGGTACCTATGCATAGAAAGCTCAAAGTTTCACCAAATGCACGATCAGCTCAGTTTTACTGTGTGAAGATTCAAGGCATAGTTCTCTTTCTGTAAAAAACGAGAGCAAAAAAGCCGTCATTAGTGCCTTCCTTAAGGTTAGACCTCCGCTTGCGTTTGGCCACTTTCTATCAGCTTGAAAATCGCTGCCTTCTTTTCTGGCATTATGATCAAGTACTTGGTGCCACTTTGTGGCAGTGGAAGAACAGATGGGGCCATGACGTCCAAGCCATCGTAGTCCGAAAACATAGGGTGTCCCAAGCGAACCTTCTGTTGTAAAATGAGCCAGAGAAATCGGTGCCTATGCATAGAAAGCTCAAAGTTTCACCAAATGCACGATCAGCTCAGTTTTACTGTGTGAAGATTCAAGGCATAGTTCTCTTTCTGTAAAAAACGAGAGCAAAAAAGCCGTCATTAGTGCCTTCCTTAAGGTTAGACCTCCGCTTGCGTTTGGCCACTTTCTATCAGCTTGAGAATCGCTGCCTTCTTTTCTGGCATTATGATCAAGTACTTGGTGCCACTTTGTGGCGGTGGAAGAACAGATGGGGCCATGAGGTCCAAGCCATCGTAGTCCGAAAACATAGGGTGTCCCAAGCGAACCTTCTGTTGTAAAATGAGCCAGAGAAATCGGTGCCTATGCATAGAAAGCTCAAAGTTTCACCAAATGCACGATCAGCTCAGTTTTACTGTGTGAAGATTCAAGGCATAGTTCTCTTTCTGTAAACAACGAGAGCAAAAAAGCCATCATTAGTGCCTTTCTTAAGGTTAGACCTCCGCTTGCGTTTGGCCACTTTCTATCAGCTTGAAAATCGCTGCCTTCTTTTCTTGCATTATGATCAAGTACTTGGTGCCACTTTGTGGCAGTGGAAGAACAGATGGGGCCATGACGTCCAAGCCATCGTAGTCCGAAAACATAGGGTGTCCCAAGCGAACCTTCTGTTGTAAAATGAGCCAGAGAAATCGGTGCCTATGCATAGAAAGCTCAAAGTTTCACCAAATGCACGATCAGCTCAGTTTTACTGTGTGAAGATTCAAGGCATAGTTCTCTTTCTGTAAAAAACGAGAGCAAAAAAGCCGTCATTAGTGCCTTCCTTAAGGTTAGACCTGTTTGGCCACTTTCTATCAGCTTGAGAATCGCTGCCTTCTTTTCTGGCATTATGATCAAGTACTTGGTGCCACTTTGTGGCGGTGGAAGAACAGATGGGGCCATGACGTCCAAGCCATCGTAGTCCGAAAGCATAGGGTGTCCCAAGCGAACCTTCTGTTGTAAAATGAGCCAGAGAAATCGGTGCCTATGCATAGAAAGCTCAAAGTTTCACCAAATGCACGAGCAGCTCAGTTTTACTGTGTGAAGATTCAAGGCATAGTTCTCTTTCTGTAAAAAACGAGAGCAAAAAAGCCGTCATTAGTGCCTTCCTTAAGGTTAGACCTCCGCTTGCCTTTGGCCACTTTCTATCAGCTTAAGAATCGCTGCCTTCTTTTCTAGCATTATGATCAAGTACTTGGTGCCACTTTGTGGCGGTGGAAGAACAGTTGGGGCCATGACGTCCAAGCCATCGTAGTCCGAAAGCATAGGGTGTCCCAAGCGAACCTTCTGTTGTAAAATGAGCCAGAGAAATCGGTGCCTATGCATAGAAAGCTCAAAGTTTCACCAAATGCACGATCAGCTCAGTTTTACTGTGTGGAGATTCAAGGCATAGTTCTCTTTCTGTAAACAACGAGAGCAAAAAAGCCGTCATTAGTGCCTTCCTTAAGGTTAGACCTCCGTTTGTGTTTGGCCACTTTCTATCAGCTTGAGAATCGCTGCCTTCTTTTCTGGCATTATGATCAAGTACTTGGTGCCACTTTGTGGCGGTGGAAGAACAGATGGGGCCATGACGTCCAAGCCATCGTAGTCCGATAGCATAGGGTGTCCCAAGCGAACCTTCTGTTGTAAAAGGAGCCAGAGAAATCGGTGCCTATGCATAGAAAGCTCAAAGTTTCACCAAATGCACGAGCAGCTCAGTTTTACTGTGTGAAGATTCAAGGCATAGTTCTCTTTCTGTAAAAAACGAGAGCAAAAAAGCCGTCATTAGTGCCTTCCTTAAGGTTAGACCTCCGCTTGCGTTTGGCCACTTTCTATCAGCTTAAGAATCGCTGCCTTCTTTTCTAGCATTATGATCAAGTACTTGGTGCCACTTTGTGGCAGTGGAAGAACAGATGGGGCCATGATGTCCAAGCCATCGTAGTCTGAAAACATAGGGTGTCCCAAGCGAACCTTCTGTTGTAAAATGAGCCAGAGAAATCGGTGCCTATGCATAGAAAGCTTAAAGTTTCACCAAATGCACGAGCAGCTCAGTTTTACTGTGTGAAGATTCAAGGCATAGTTTTCTTTCTGTAAAAAACGAGAGCAAAAAAGCCGTCATTAGTGCCTTCCTTAAGGTTAGACCTCCGCTTGCGTTTGGCCACTTTCTATCAGCTTAAGAATCGCTGCCTTCTTTTCTAGCATTATGATCAAGTACTTGGTGCCACTTTGTGGCGGTGGAAGAACAGATGGGGCCTTGACGTCCAAGCCATCGTAGTCCGAAAACATAGGGTGTCCCAAGCGAACCTTCTGTTGTAAAATGGGCCAGAGAAATCTGTGCCTATGCATAGAAAGCTCGAAGTTTCACCAAATGCACGAGCAGCTCAGTTTTACTGTGTAAAGATTCAAGGCATAGTTCTCTTTCTGTAAAAAACGAGAGCAAAAAACTGGCCAAAGTCAAGTTTGAGCATGTCCGCCGACGACAGTCTTCTGCTCTTTGCACCTGCAGGGAGATGGTGCCACAGGTTTATTTGGTGGTCTGCAAACGCGCCCAACCTTGACTTTGGCAAGTTTTTTGCTCTCGTTTCTTAGAGGAAGGGAATTGTGCCCTAAAATTTCCCAAGGTAAGACCGACCTGTTCAGTGCACATTCTGTGAAAGGTTGAGCTCCGGATGATTACGCTAAAGAGTTCAACGATTTTTATGTGTCTTCTGACCCTTCGTCTGTGGTGTGCATAGACATGTATGCATGCATAAACTACAGTAATCAGGTGTGAGAGAGATTGTGTAAAAGACGTAAATAAAATTTGGACTGTTTGTTTGTCTTCAGCGGGTCGTTTACCTTCGCAATTTTTCCCTCCGATAATCACCGTTTTAGTGGTTGCACGAAAGAATTAACTGAAAAGCACTGGTATTCTAGAAATAAATAAACAGAGATAAACATCTGCCAATTTTTTTTCACAAATAAACACCGGGAAGTAAACACCCTTCTTATGGGTAATGTCAACTGGCATGTGGAGCGATTGGCTAGCCAGTAATCAACTGGTCACTGATTACAAGTTACAGATGTGTTGCCAACTGATGATTGGCACTTGCGGGTGATTTGCCAACTGGTGATTCACACTTAGGGCAGTTGACCAACCACTCGGGGGAATGATGGGCACTTGTGTGTGATTGACCAACCATCGATTGGCACTCGGCCGGGACCGATGGGCGCTTGTGGGTAATTGACCAAGCATCGATTGGCACTCAGGGTATCGATGGGCACTTGCGGGTGATTTGGCTAAGCATCAATTGGCACTCAGGGAATTGATGGGCGCTTGCGGGTGATTGTCCAACCATCGATTGGCACTCGGGGTATTGATGGGTGTTTGCGGGTGATTGACTAGCCATCGATTGGCACTCGGGGATTGATGGGCGCTTGCGGGTAATTGACCAACCATTGATTGGCACTTGGGTATTGATGGGCAATTGCGGGTGATTTGACTAAGCATCGATTGGCACTCGGGGATTGAAGGGTATTTGCGGGTGTTCGTTGATTGGCACTCGGGAGGTTGACGGGCACTTGCGGGTGTGCAGCGGGCGGGCCTCGGAGACCCCCGACAGCCCCCAGGTGGAGAGCCCCCTGAGCCTGGCGGAGAACTGCTTCCGGGAGGTGATGGGCCGCGCCACGTACGGCCACATTGCCTCGGTCATCAAGCCTGTGCTCAAGCACCTCGATAACCACCGGCTCTGGGTGCCCAACACCTTTGCCATCTACACCTTCAAGATCATTATGTACTCCATCCAGGCAGGCATCCCTTCTTTTTCGCTCTTTGACTTTGACTCTTGCCACTGAATAAGCTACATCTCAGACCAGTGTTGCCAAGTCAAAAATGAAAACCCAGCAATACATACGGGTCCTTGAAAGCCGTTGAATTTGAAAACTGCATTTTCCAGACCTTGAAAGCCCTGGAATTTTTAGCGGCGCTTGAAAACCCTCGAATTTCCAAATGATGGAAAGTTTTGTTGGTTGCAATAATGAAATTGTTTAAATGTAATTATTTTTTATGTACGTAATTATCTTTTAAAACAAAAAGGGCAAAATTTTAATTTTTTTTATTTCTACATATTTCTACATATCAACATAATTTGCTATGATTCTCCTACTTTAATTCTTTTACTTTCGTCCTTTTTGTCTTTTGTATAAGTTCTATCCCTTCTTTCTTTTCTTAGTTTTCTAATAAAACCTCACTTCCGAATATAGGGCTGCCCTGTCTACTTCATGTCCGTGTCTGCCCCCGCGCTTTATAATTTCAACATTTCTCACCGTGACAGCGCACGGGATGAGACTTGGCATCAAGAGCATTTCTGTCTCCAACGTGGAATCTTACGAAATTGTTCTCGTTGCGGCGAGCTAACTCGCAATACTGGAAGTTGCGAGGACGAAAGACCGGCGGTGACAGGAAAAAATGCGATGCTAAAGCGGCGATAAATTCGGCCGTCATTACAGCGCCGATTGAGCGCTGCGCCGCAGGTGCGAGGTGGCCTCTAAGAGCACGAGACCAGGTGCCGAAGAGGCAACTCGGGCGTCCGGTGAACGTTTTGCAGGCCCAGTACTCGTACGCAGTGATCCAGATGCTGATGAACCACCTGGACGAGAAGTACCGGCTGGAGACGTCGGCGTTGACCCAGGAGGACGGGGGCGAGCGCCTGTCCCGGGGCCCCAAGGTGCGCATGGGCATCGTCAACGTGCTCTTCCACCTGGTGAACATAGCGGCCGGGGAGAGCGTGGGGCCCTCGGTGCTCGAGGTCTTCCACTCCCTGCTCAACCACCTCAGGCACTCCATCGACATGCACAGGTAGGCGGGCAGGTGGACCACGCCACCGGTCGTCCTCGGGCTACGGGCAACTGCGGCGCGAGCGTCCGTGATTTAGTAAAGTATGTTGCCGGGTTGTCAGCACCTCAATAATTTCAGCGCCGCATTTTCTCGTCGTCTCTTTGGTCCAGGCTTTTTGGGTCTAGCATCCACCCCTGCCTATGAGGCGGTGGCAGTGACAATATACCGGTCCAGCATAACTCGCAAGGGCGACTGTGCCAGTCAGAGTGATGTAGCGAAGCTCGTGACGCCTCTCCGCAGGAGGAACGCGACAGCAGGTTGTCACATACTTTGCTTCGCCGCTTCGATTGGCTCACACAGCCCACGGTGTTCTTTATTTGCCATGCTGGAGCGGAGTATGGAACTGTCGCCAGTGTTGTGGCGATCCGAGCAAATGCCCAGTTTTGGCACGAGGTGGAAACCTTGCGATGTTGCGGTTCGAAACATGCGAGAGCGAGAACCTTCTCGGCCGCTAATTAAGTGGGCATTATCGACCACTGAAAAATTCTTTACTCACTTGCGAGCATACGATTGGACAGTATTTAGGCGAGAACTTCTTACCAACACGCAAATGGCAAGAGAGGGCATGCAGCCTTCGACGAGTTTGTCCCAAGGGGGGATCGGTGGTCGAGTGCGTTGGCGCACCACAGGTCGGAGTGCGTGGAGCGAAAGCTCGCGCTGCATAGCCTAGGGTTCCTGGGTTCAATGCCCACCCCTGCCCGTTTCGATCTGGATGAGCATCGTACTGGCTTGCGGTCATGTTTCCCTGCTGTGTGGTGCATGTTAAAGACCCTAGGCTAACGGTTTTACTGCACTGGCTAAATTTCTCACTTGCAGCGTAAACCAGTGTTGCTGTATCTCAAGAGGCAGAGACCAACCTTGCACCATAAAAACACGAAAGTCAAAAATATTTCTTTTTTTGTGTTTGTCTTAAATGGTTACTAAAGAGAATACAGGAATCGTCTGTCCTCGGTCATAACTGATTGTATAGCCTTTAAAGGGCAACTCCGCTCAATTCCGAAGATTTCGGGATGATGAGTGACTTTGCATTAAAATGCACCAGTAAAAGCACTACGTCATTTGCTTCTCAAAAAATAGTATATATATTGTTAAATCTAATTTTAAACACAGCAGAAATTGAACCTGAAACTTCAGCTTCGTTCAGCAACATTGGCCTCGGGCCGCTAAGAACATGACCATCACGTGATACAAGATGTCACGTGATCCTCTATACAACGATGAAAGGGATTGGGGCAGTGTGTGCCAGGCGCAAGTGTTATCTGCACCACGTTCTTCACCATGTTTTGGTGTGTATGACATTGGACGACGTCTGCACATCGGCAGCATAAGTTTGTGCACATACTGTCCGTAGTGTGGACGAAACTTCGAGAGACAATAATCACAAATGGTGAAACGACGACGATGGTGGTTTTGATGCGTGAGACTGCGGTAACGGCAAGACCACGGCGAGACGGCCGGACGGCTCCTAAGAAGCGCCCTGCACAGGCGCATCACACCCATCACGTGGACACCGCTGAGCACCAAGAGAAAACGTTGCTGACATCACTTATTACACTTGCCCGGAGAAGTAAAAACAAGCAAGAGGGGCAATGGTGACGACATTTAGCTCAATGTTGGCTACGCCCAGGCTTTAGCCTTGACTGCGCTGTTGGTTGCGCCTCAATTTGCCCACTCGAGTCAGCCGATTCCGGCAACTTGGCGAGTCGTGAAGTTTGCCTAACCGTTTAAGAAACATTTAGACAGAACTAGGTCGTAATATTTTATATCTGATCTTCCTAGACGATACGGAAGAGGACTGCAATGTTTTTCGAAAAACAAAAATGAAGTGAAGTTGCCCTTGAGGCATCCTAAAAATAAAAAAAATTACAATCGCGCGACGCCGTTTTTTTTATTTAAAATATGATGAAAGGTCGGGACACACCCCTTTCGGAGTGGATTTTAACCACTCAGAAAAGGCAGGGCACACCCCAGCAGCTGTCTCGGTGCTGTGACGACGGGCGCTTATTGGCGAATTGGAAGCCGCCTCAGTCGCAAAATGCCTTTTTGAGAGAGGCGACTTGCGATTGGCTGACGAGCGCCTGTCATCACCGCCCTGACACCGCTGCTCGTGTATACCCCGCGTTTCCTGAGCGGAAAAACTGCCTTTCATTGCGTTTTACAGTGGAACTGTTAAGGGCTAGTTTCTCCAGGATTGTGTCCGCCAGCCAAATAAATGTTGACTCATCACTTCGTACAGCTACCGCCATCTGTGAGCAACAGCGGCAACCAGACACTTGGTTGCCGCCGTCGCTCATGGATGGTGGCAACCTTTCTTCAGAGGAAGAAGAACGGGAGCACAACGAGCGGCGGTGTGCGCAGCGGCACGAATGGTTCTGCAACCACCGTGAGGCCGTTATCGGCTTAGTTCTACTGCGTCGAGCGCTTCAGATTCCCTTGCAATAGGAGAGCAGATTCCTTGCCTGGAAATCCACTGCTGAAAACAGAAGCTACAGCTCCGCTGCTCTTCCTTCTTCACCGGGCTGGAAAGGCTGAAAGTTTTTTAATAGGAAGATCAGTGTGACATGATTGTAATTTTTGGATTTTTAGGATGCTTACGGCCCATAGAATCAGTTATGATCAAGAACAGATGATCGCAGAATCCTCTTTTGTGTCCCTTTAAGTGGTTTTTATTCGTTGAAGGGTTTCAGCTTGTGCAAAGCAACAGAACAACTTGAGGTTTTAAAAAAGAAAGCACTGCTCCTCAATTTCTTACAGCTTAAAACATCAGCTGATAATTATTTCGGTTCGCACCCGATATTACTTTGTCGAGGCAATCGGTTTGTAGCAGACGACCACCTATTTGCTTGGTTCTTTTAGCAGATGGCTGGTAGGTGAAAAGACTGTGACAAGCAGTTTTTCGTCTACAAGCCAGGCAGGCTAGCTAGTGGTAGCTAATCATGTCATTTAACACCTGAGACTGGTGCAGAAAAAAACAAAAACACTTTTTGTGGAAGAACAGACACAGAAGGGAATGTCTCTTCCCTTCACTCCCTTCTGTGTCTGTTCCTTCGATTAAAAGTTTCCTTTTCTGCACCATAGTCTTGGGTGTTAAACGACATGATTGGCTCATAGGTGTTCGCTCGTTTTATTTTTGTCTACAGCTAGCACCTTGTGGCAGATGAGCTTGCATTCTTTGATCTTGTTAGGAGACACACCATCTGCGAATGATTTGTAAGTTCGCTTCGTGAGAGTGAATTTAGACCTCGCGGTGACCAAAATGAAACTCCGGGCACCTTCATTACGTCTGCCCTACTTGATGCATAGTCTTTTCCTCCCCTGCGATCAGCACCAGTGAGGAGGAGCTGGAGGACGAGCACCAGTTCCAGGAGGCGGTGATCGGCACCCTGGGCGAATTTGCCAACAACCTGCCAGACTACCAGAAGATTGAGATCATGATGTTCATCCTGGGCAAGGTGCCCCAGAGCCAGGAAGCAGAGTCATCCGACCCCCGCCAGAGGAACTCGGAGGTGCTGCTGCAGCACATCCTGCTCAAGTCACTGCTCACCGTGAGTGCACTTCGTGATGAGGAGGGGTCTCTCGGGGGCTCAGCTTACGCCTGATGAGGCTTCGCTAGGCCGACGTCTCGACCTCCCGCAAAGATTCGGTTAGGATGGTGGTTGCGGGTTTCGAAAGTTTCAACGTTCTTGACTGGGCAGATGATTGTGAATTAAAAGTAAGCACTAACGTGACAAAGGCAGCTGTAAAACAGAATGTACAGTGTGTTGCTTTGCAGTGATATTGTACGGAGGAACTTGGTACGCATTTTTTGTCAGTTTTCAACATTATCATACATAGCTTCTCAGGAAGAAAGCTCTGCCAAAGCTAGTGCTGCAGTGGGAAAGGAAAGCAAAATTTGCGTCTTTTGCAGTCACGCTCCAGCTCTGACGCTGGCATCTTCTATCTGCCTTTTTTTTTTTTATGCAAATACTTTTTCTCCTCACCCTCTTCTCACTCTTTAACTTTATGTGCAAGCACATTTGTTCATCACACCTCAGATTACAAGGCCATAGGGTTGAATGTTTTACATAACCTATTGGAGGTCAGTACGGGGCACAGATAGGAAACAAATGCTGCGTTGCAGGTGGGGCAGAAGTACCGGACGGTGCAGCTGGGCCAGGCGTTCCCGGCCTCGTTCCTGCACTCGCTGCTGCGCATGTCCCTGGCGGCGGACCCCAGCGTGCGGCTGGTGGTGCAGAGCATCCTGCACACGCTGCTGGATCGCCACGGCAACCTGGACCAGCTGCGCAGCATGCCCAGCTGCGAGGGCCCCCTGGGGGACCTGCGCCTGGAGAAGTGCTCCCGTCAGGACACGGTGTTCATGCGCAAGCACGGCCCGGACATCCTGTACCATGTGTACGAGAATGCCCAGCTGGCCAACAATGGGCCGGCCAATTTCCAGGCCCTCTTCACCACCCTGGCCCTGCTCTGCGTCGAGCTGGGCAGCGAGGACGTGCTCATCGACCTGCTCCGCCTCATGTTTGCCATCCAGGTCGGTTTTGCAAGGACCCCACGACAGGGCTTGTACCACATTTTCCTGAATGTATTGTGAAGATTATGTGTTTTACAGTATAATCTGCACCTAGTGCATAGCCTGCAGGAGCAAATATCGGTTAGAAAAGGAAAACGTTTTTTTAGCGAAGCTGTTATGTGCGAAGGTCTGGAAAACAATGCGTCCATGGATGTTAACAAGAAACCTTCAGCCTTTCCACTCTGGTGAAGACAAAAGAGCAGCGGAGCTGTAGCTTCTGTTCTCGGCGGTGCCTTTCCAGGCGAGCAATCTGCTCTTCTGGAATCTGAGGGTATCTGAAGTGCTCGACGCCCTCACAGCGGTTGCGGAACAATTCGCGTTGCTGTACACATCATCGCCGATTCCGTTCCCTCTCTTCTTCCTCCGAAGAAATGTTTCCGCCATCTAAGAGCGACGCAGCAACCAGTTGTCTGGTTGCCGAGGCTGGAAAGGTTGCCGCAATCTACGAGCGACGGCGGCAAGCAGACAACCGGCGAACACAGCACTCTGGACCGCCATCTGTGAGCAACGGCGGCAGGCAGAGTGTTGTGTCGACGTTTGTTTGGTACCAGACACGATCCTGGGGAAACTAGCCCTTAACAGCTCCGCTGTAAAACTCCTGTTTAAATGGCGCTCCTTTGTTCCGATTGGTTGTGGCAAGTATAAGTAAAAAGAGAGCAGGGTGTCGAACCGGAACCGAACCGAACCGAAAACCGGAACCGAACCGGTATTTTTTCCGGAACTGAACCCGAACCCGAATTGTTATATTGTTATCGCGTTGAACCCGAACCGGAACTGAACCGGAAAAAAAATAATGGTTACCGGCTCATGTCAAAACGGTTCGGCCACGCGCTGTTGAAAATGAATGTGCTATCAATGCCATTTGTTTTTTAAGTGCCGTCAACTGACACACACCTCGCTTACATATTTTTCTTCTCCACTCAGTCTTAGGAATATAAACGCTGCATCCATGAATCTTGACAAACGCTCTGCATCCATGAATCTTGACATAGGAACCAGTATTGCGCTGGTCGCGGCTTGCACGGAAGAAAAATAATTAAAAGGCTGTGCAAAAAAAAAAAAAAAAAAATTCGTCACGGGATTTTGTTTTTCTACAATCTCGTAAATCCTAAATGCTGCTGTGTGCTCATTTCATAACACATTTCTAGAATGCGCGAGTTCTTAAAGCTTGCTTCCATCGGAATGAGAAAAGAAAAGGCTGTGGAGTTTGATAATAATGCATCCGGTTTCGTATAGGCAGTTAGAAGCTAACATATTTGTGAGACAGCGAACTCTTCTATATTAATATTTATCTTATTTGTCCATCTGGCGTTGCGTTCGGTGAAGTGTTTTTCATATTCCGTATCTTGTTTAATTAAAACTTCTTTAAGGGTCTAATTTGAGTTACCGAAGGCTAGTTCAAATAAAGAAAGCTGTATTTTCTCCCCACTGTTCCTTCAGTTGCTTACACGCCGAGGTGGCGGGATAGTTAGCGAGTTCTACTTGTAAGTGGGTTTGTAAGGAGGTCGCGGATTTTACAGCTACTGCGTCGGACCCAATTAGATGAAGTCCGAATGCGTAAATGTCGGTGAGGTAACCTTTGAGTGCACATAAAAAAACCATTCCTGGTAGAAATCCCTGCGCCTTACACTACGATGTATCCCGTTTCGTATGTGCTGATTTCAGATGTTTTATTTGTAATTTATTTTGATGTTGCAATTTGTCATTTATAATTTCCGAACCGGTTCGCGAACCGGATCAGCGCCCCGAACCGGTTCGCGAACCGGTTCGCGGATCGAATTAATCGAACCGGAACTGAACCGGAACAAAATAAATTTACCTGAACCTGAACCGTAACCGAACCCATATTTTTTTCGGTTCGACACACTGAAAGAGAGGGCAACCCGTGTGAGTCCACCTTTGTTGGCATTATTAGATAGTGATCCCTTGTTATCATCTAAGGTCACCGACTCAGCTAAGAGTGCGCTGTGACGAGGCTGAGGGCAGAATGCGCCGATCTAACCTTCTTTTCTTTTGCTTCCACCGTGGTGATAGATAGACTTGGGCTCAATCGGATAAAAACTGTCCTCGAGGTGTGCCTCGAAAAATTGGATGTAGAACTTGCCCATAAGTGACAAAAAGGCAATAATCACTTTAGTCACTAATAATTAAATAAAGACAATTAAACCACGAAGTCGTGTCTTCATTGCAGTCACATGTAAATGGTCTAGATGGAAAGTTGCAAGATTGTGGTAAAGATAGCAGCTTTGCTGGTCCTCCATCTTCATGTGAAATGGATGGGCTGTACAACCTTTTGTTTTTTAGGTAGTTTGCACTTCTTGCCTAGTTTACACCCAGTGCATAGTCTGCACCTGGCCCCTAGTTCACAGATAAAAAGTTATACAAAGTATAGCTTGACAGATCCCGGCTTTATTTAATGACGGAAGCTGGTATCGTATGTAAATCACCATTAATATTCTCTGTCGTTCACAGAATCCATTGTGTCCCATTATAATGAACTATCCATAAAGTACAAATCTTCAATAGTCTGCACGTGTTGATAGTCTGCACCGCCTAAAACCTAAACTTTTAAACACGCATAGTCCGCCGACTTGTTTTTCCAGAAAATACGGAACTCAAAGCCAACTATTCTGCGCTATGTTGTCGAGGCAAGCATGGCTTCTACGGTGCTCTAGCACCGCAGCCCCACACTGCTGCGCGGGCATAAGGCTTCATCTTGCATCTCATTTGCGCACACTCCCTCGTGAAAGAGGGAGTGTGCAGTCGTGCAAGCTGATTTGAAAGTGTTGGAGCACTGCAGGAGCTATATCACCTCCACAAGTTGGCACGAAACACTTGATGCCGTGTAGACAATGCATTTCTGACTGACGTGTTTAGCGTCCTATCCCACCCATGCATCCAAAGTGGTCCCCTTGCAGCAGCAAATTATGTTGCGAAAGGGAACATGAGTGTTGCTGACGACAGTGACATTTGCGTTTGCACATGGGCGGTATGGACAGTAGAGACACCACTTGTGGGCATGCTGCAGGTGTCATGCTGACAGAGCTGGGGCTCAGGGTAACTTTGTTAGAGTGCCAGTTGGTTTAACACCTTTTTAAATGAGTTGTCCACTGGCGAGAGGTCCACATCGTGACACTGTTAGCGCAAACACGACATTGGCGCGTTTTCGCATTCTAAATAGTATTAGCGAGCACAAAATTTTATCGCTTACATTATAGAACTGAATGAGCTCTTTCCATAGCAATAATAACTTGGATGACATCCCTTAGTTTCAAAGAGAAAAACTGGAAAAACTGGCGATCGCTTGTTCGCGTTAACAGTGTTGCGCTCTGTTTAAGATATCAGTACGTACACGATTGAGTAAAATTTGTCCGTGTCATGTTATTTTTTTTTTTGCATCTCGTTTGGTTTGTATTTACAACCAGCACACATCCCGTTTAAGTGTTAAGCCTGGCCCTGCAAAATCTTCCTCAGTGGAACTGTGATTGGCAGTCTGGTGCTGGAGCGTGTTTGTGCACAGCAGCTTGGCGCTTGTGAAGGCATTGTCAAACGTTTAGGGGCGAAGCTCCTTAGGGGCTTTGCTTGTCCGTCCGGCGTCCGTGATCACATCGATCTTGCTGGCGCTCGTGAGCTCACGTGCTCACATGGTCACGTGCTCGTGTAGGGCAAAAAAAAAAAAAAAAAATGTTTGCGCAGTTGACAGGATTCAAACTTATGCGGGGAGACCCCAATGGATTTCCAGCCCATCGCCTTAACCACTCGGCCACGACTACGGGACGAGTAGGGGGCTCTGAGATGTGGTATTAACTCAAGAGCTGGGGTTGTCATGGATGAAAGGTTGCATGTAGCCGCTCAACGTCTATACAGGAGAGGGCGCTGCGGTCAAATGCATATATAACCACGTTCCATACCACACATTCTCTTTCTGACATGGATGAAAACGAACGAAAGGCTTGGGATGCTGCGTCTCAGCGTTTACGCAGACAAGCACCACCAAAGCTTCGCCCCAATCAACATCATTCACCACGTGGAGATGCGGTCATTTTTTGATCTTTAAGAACATCAGTCATTTTTGTACGTCTAAGGAAGCGCTCTGATCTTGGCCTCGATGCAACAAATCGGTGCAATGCAGTGCAAAGCAGTAATGTTCATGCTAGGGAACAGTTGGCTCAGAGTAATGCATCAATGGGTGGCTCCCATCTGCTAGGACAGTGCCTTAGCTGGACGGGCAGGAACTGTTAAGGAAATTTTGGAGGGAACCCCCGGGGGTGAACCCAGTTTGAGAACTCGTGCTACGCTATCTGTCTCGAGCGTGTATCGATCGAAACCCTGGGTCTTTTACCGAGGCATGCTGGACTTACATTGGTAGGTCTGGACCACAAACCCCCTCCCCAGCCTCCGTCCTAACGCTCCTCTTATTGTGTGTAGGAGCTTCCCACGACCGGGGGTGCCAGCCTGAGTACTGCCCAGGTGGCTTCCCTGCACGGCCTGGTGGCGGCCTTCCTCTTCCTGGCGGCCCAGCTGACGTCCATCCCGTCGCTCAATGCACACGTCAACGAGGTGGGTCCCTCTTCCCCTTCTTCACCTGGGCAGTCGTTTGTGTGGCCCCGTGCATGCCCAGGTGTGGCTGTCACCGTGTCGACGCTCGTGCCATAAGATCACCTGATAACCGGTGCTGTCGTGGGCTTGGTGGGGAACTCACTCGGCCCAGAAGTGTCGGGGAATGGCCTGGGAACCAACATATATGGAGATAAGTCTACGAGTTTCTGAATGGTTATCAGTTCTGCAGTCACATCCCTCAAGGTACAGTATAGACCACTTACAACGTAACCGCTTATAGTGCAGGACCGGGTATAACGTGGCTTATTTAAACCACCGGTTCGCCTCCCATAGAACTCCATGTAATTACATACCGCTTAAAATGCAGGCGCGCGAAGGGAAATACCGGTTATGGTGCGGTTTCTGGAACAGCCCGCCGACCGCGCCGACTTAAGGTCCAGGCGAGCACGCTTCCCTGTGCGACACTAGATAACGGCACGAGCCGCAAGCGGCACTCGCAGGGCAAGAAAGTTGCTCGAAGCGGGGAGAAGCGAAGAGAGAAGCTTCAGTTGCCATAGCGACGGAGGGACGCACGCACGTGTCGCTCACGTGCGTGCGTCCCTCCGCTGCGTTGGTTGGAAACAACCGCAACGACAGACCAATCGCAGGTCGAGGAGAAGTGTTCGCGTGCGTTGCATGCCGGTCGCGGGCCGGCTGCTTCTATCCGCAAACATGGCGTCGGTTGTGATCATCGACGTCGACGGCGTGGTCGAAGCTCATCGTTCCGCGTAAAAGCGCTATCCTTGATTGTCAATTTTCGTTGTGTGCCGCTATGATAACCTAGCACATACTAGAAGGGAAGATCCACCTACTTGTCGTGCGGCGATGTTGTGGCGGCACTCTCAAGACGGCAGAAACGCCCGTGTCGTCGTGCTTGTTTACTTCGACTACAGTAGTGCTTTCTAAGCATTTGTGTTTTCGAACGTCGCCCGTATTTCTTATTTGGAGCATTTCATGCCTGTGCTCAAGTTGAAGGTAGTACTGGCACGTACCGTATAAAGGATGCGAATTTTCACGCGTTTTTTTCGTTGGAGAAAAGTGATTAGGGTTAGCAATCCTGAACGCTCGCAACGTCTGTCCGCAACCAGCGACGCCATTAAAAGGCTGCACCAGGCAAAAGTCGCTCATTTCTTTCAAAATGTGTGACACACTTGAAAGAGAAGTATACTAGTCTGGTGAAATAAAGACTTTCCTCGAACTAAGCTTTATTTTTCATCTAATATAAAATAAATTGTTTTACAAAGGTAAGTTGTCTGATGGTATGTATTTTGGCCTGAACAATTTATGTTTTGGTTATAGCGCGGTACCACTTATAGTGCGAATTTTCGCGACTCCCGCGACATACGTTATATGCGGTCTACACTATAGCTTGCTGGGTGATCATAACATAATTTAATTTCGCAAAAAAAAAAAAAAGTTAAGTATTTTTTTTTGGTAGGGGTCACACTTTACAATTATAGACTAGTTCAGGTGCCCCCCAACTATAGCGGATAAATGCTTCCCGCTAAATTTAGCGAGGCAATCAAATTGTTGCAGAACTATGCGACATTTCAGGTTTTCTCGCTAAATTTGGAATTTAGCGAGTGAAACTGAGTGGTGACAGTGACCTATTGTGCAAAGGCATTCGAGCCTTGCACTGAAGTCACACTAGCTGCCATCGTGGTGACCTTGCTGCCGGATGCGTACCCCTTGCAGTTCGTTGCAGTACGCATTTCGAACCATCAGACTTTTGTTATATGAAACCGTGATGCTTGACGTTTCACGAGGCACCATAAAATAATCTCTTTTGAGGGTTCTCACGAGATTTGTTGCCTACGAAATTTGTTTTACGACTCTATGACTGTTTGATGTTCCCTCAAGGAGCATAAACCTTCTGTTTCATAATTTGGAGGAACCATGAAGCTTCTTGTTTCACGATCCTGGTTCAGTCTCTTTGGCCCACACTAGAGACGCTACAAAGCCACACTTTGAGCATCGGCCCCTTTTTCTCCCATTGTTTTGTTGCCGCCCCGACGGCCATTAGCGCTGGCTGCTTAAGGGCGCCACCATTTTGGCGCTTAGAGCTGTACGAACATCATTTGCGACGGCTATCATTCTGAAATGTGACATTTTGAAGGGTACATACGGTTTGGGAGATAGTAGTGGCATTGCTTTCCTCTGTCGGGAACTGCTTTGGCGGGTAGGATGAGGGAAAACACTGGCATCTTCCATCAGGCACGTTGGTAAAAGCTGGTGACAAATGGCAACATTTATTTTATGCTTCAAATGTAGTTGAAGTGCCTTGGGTCTAAACCTGTGGTTCTTAGTCACTGATGTTTTGGGGACATCTTCTGGATCAGCCAAAGAGTGGGGTCTTTGGGGTGGGAGGGGGGAGGGGGTGCTGGATGATTACAAGAACAGAGGGGTAAAGGAAGAAAACTAGATGCGTGCAAACCAACTTTGAGGCTTTGAAACAGAGTCACCAACCCTACTCACTTGGTGCACATGGTTTGGCGTGTATAGCTTCGTGAGTCATCCAGCATGAATAAAAGAAAACAAAGTTTTGCTTGGCTTGACCGAAGGGTGAGGGCTCCGGGGATCCCCGAAAAGTCAGCAGAGAACCGCTGCTCCAAAGCGTAGCTTAATTAGAGAGCGTCCCACACTGTGGTTGTTTGGATTGTTTTTGGCACGCTCCGCGAGCCAAGCTGGCGGAACCTTGCGTGACACAGGTGCTGAAGGTGCGCCGGGAGCGTGCCCCGCACCTGCTGCCCCAGCCGGGCCGGCCCGCCTCCCCGTCGGGCACGGTGCCGGAGGCGGCCCTGTTCGACCGGGCGGCCGTGGGCGAGGCCCTGCGCAGCACCGGCCACGACACCTCCAAGCTCTTCACACAGTTCTCGCACCGCTACTCAACCACAGGTACGGCCGGGGAAAGCAGGAAAACAGATTTTGTTTTACTGCGATGGTTGTTACGGGCTCTTCCTCGTAGTTTTTGTCGTTTTTCATTTGTAGTCGGCGTAGTAGGGCATCCGTCGTCGACGTTGCGAAATCCTCGAAAAAGGTGGCCCGCCTACTGTGGGAATCAAACCTTGGTCCGCCGCTTCCAAACCAGAGGCATTACCACGGAGCTGTGTCGTGGCGTTAATAACCCTCTTTATGCTTAGAGTTTTTGTGGTACCCAGTGCTCACTGCACGCGCGCTCTCGAAAAAAAGAAAATAGCCGATAACAAAATGCCGTCGTAGCATCGTCAATGCTAAGAGCTCTTGCCGGTAGACACACTTTTGCGTGCTCCAGTACAAAAAAGAAACAAATCCGTTCAGAACGAAATTTTCAGATGTCCATTCTATTCCAAATGCTTCTGTTCACGCACACCAACAGTGCAAGAACACGACGCCGATGCCCAACGACTTTGCCGTGACGTGCCGCAGCTATCGCTGGGACTCTATTGGGGACGAACACGGGGTTGGCAATTTTGTTTAGTGGCGTGCACCGTCTGGGGCTTTTTTCGCGAACTGCAAATGAAGGGCAGCCCAAGCTGCCTCCACCTGTCGAAACACATTGGCATCGTGCTGTTGTATTGGTTTTCGTCACTTTTTATGCCCCATAGGTCGATACTCGAAAAAGTCTCATAGAAAAAGATGATGTACATGCAAAGATGGGTGCCGAATACGTGGGCTCTACGGGAGGGTATGTGGATGCGTCGAGGCTCGTTGGAGAGAGGTTCATTTCTCTGTGAGTGGGCAGAAACTTGCAAATATGTGTTGCTGCTTTATGGCACGCTATGTTTGAGCCGTGTGTTCTTGGGACCCGAAGACGGATTTTTCAGTGGTTCAAGAATTGCAAATGTGTCGATGGTAGATCGAGACATTAACCTTATACGGAGTGCACGTTTGTCCGCATCTTTTGCGGGGGTTGCAGTGATGTCAGAATGCCGAGCTTTGATTGGCTTTGATTGAAGGAGAGTGGGTAGACGTCGTGGCAGCTTGCTTCGAGGCCTGTCCACTCTCCTTCAATCGGAGCCAATGGGAGCTTGGTGTTGTTCTGACATTGCCACAACCCCCGCAAACGAAGTGGACAAACTTGCTCTCTGCATTGCTTTTTTTCTTAGAGCACGCAGAAGGTCAATATTCGCTATGATATCACACCAGTCAAATGGGTGTTTTATGGACAGAGTCCATGCATTTTCCGCAGAGGATACTGGCGCTAATAATTTATATTAACGGCGTTGAAGGAGGGCAGCGTGTGATGAGCCACCGACAATTTGACACAGAGAGGCTGTCTGCACAGAAATTTTTAGGCACGTGGATGCTATGTTGAGAATCCCAGCAGAGAAAAATTTTCCATGCCCATTGTTATCAGTGGTTCACTATTCACTGGGTTTCTTTCAGAAACGGCAGGCTCCTGACAGATTTACAAAAAAAAAACAAATGCAGATGGCAATTAAAAAAAAATCTTGCATTGTCTGCAAGATTTTTTGCTGCAATTTAATATTTCCATCATCACACTGATTGTTTTTGGCTGTGCTCCCTCACCGAATTGAATGGTGAATTCGGGTAGCTAAGCTTTGGGTGTTGGATGGATGCCGGGTGGTCATCTTGGCAGTGCAGGGGTACCACTGAATTCAGGATGCTGTACTTAGCTCGTCCCAGTGCACCTTCCCCGGGGGTGCCTTCTGATTGGGCGCAATGTGCAGGGGAGCCCACGGTGACAAGGAGCGTGAGCGACCTCAACTCCAACAACGTCGAGGTGGCCAGCGTCAATTCCTCACCGGGATTTGTCAGGGTAAGCCTGGAGAGATGAACGTTTGGAATAAGCACAGAAAAAATGACGGGACCAACAAGCTAGACGGTACAAAATGCACTCGCAATTGAAATTTGTTGGAAACTTATTGATGGAGACATACTGTATTATGGTAATGCACCCCCGATTCTAACGTGCACCGGTTCCCGGAACCAAATAGAAGATTTTAATTTTGCCCCCGATTCTATACGAGTATTCACATCGGTTAAAAATCCCTCCCCTTGCTCCCTGGAATGTGCATCACGTGAGAACTGAGTCACACTTCTGCGCGGAAGCGCGCCGACGTGGACGTCCAAACGGGATGGGGGAAGCTTTTGCTTGGGCTGCACAAACGCTCCCCGCCTTGGCGTGGAGATCTCTTTGCCCATAACGGAATAAAACGGCGCAAAAGATACAAGGGAAGAGACTAACTGGATGTTTCTGTCTTTTGCACTGTTTTATCCCATTATGTGCAACGATTACCAAGTAGCCCAGCTATCAACTTTATTGGAACAAAGTACCGCAATTGGCGGTACTTTGTTCGCGTGTCTGGCAAATTTACAGATCAAGAATCTCGAAATGTAACTGGCAGAGGCAACGCTACAAGGAATAGGGTGACTTGCTACGTAGTGTATCATCCCATGGAGCACTTATCTCGGCCGCTAAGGGCTCCAAGTGTCCACTCGTTACGTTCACTATGGTACGCCATGGAACAGCAGCCATTTCAGCTTTTCCTACTGTGGGCGATGATTGAACAAAGCAGGAACTAACGGGACATATATGGATGAACTAACGCTACGCCGCTATTTTCTAATGGCAATGACAGTGGGACTGTCGCGGGTTTCGGTTTCATATCCGATTTTAAGACGCGTGCCATTTGTAGCCGTATTTTTTTGTAAAGAAGGTGCACGTTGGAATCGGGTAGGTACAGTACCTGCCGAAGCTCAGCAGGGCACTGGTCGCACGGTAACGTCAAATTTGTCGCGCGGACGTTTGGTCAGAGGGAAGTTATTCCGCCTTGCAATGGGGCAACTTCCGTCGTCGCCACGGGGGGTCTAATTGGGCTCTTTAACTTGTGTCGTGCAGTGGACTGCACAAATGTATGCTAGTCCTAATGAAACCAGCTGAAGTTGGATCTGAATTTATGATTCTCGTGGGTCGTAAATTCATCTTATCCGAGAATAAGATGTCCGAAGGATTTCCAATGCAGGTACTGCGTGAAGGGGCTCTTGCATCAGCCCCTCCTAGATCGCACAGCCACAGCAGTGGAGTGTCTATCACAAGTGCACGCACCATTTGTGGTGCAGTGACTGGCATGTACCTCCGACCGGCATGTTTAGCGTCTTGTCTCTCCCACCAATCGGAAGTTGTCCCGAAGTTGCGTCAAGTCGTGGGAGTCAGCGTGTCACACTGTCGGATATCAACATCCCGGCAGACGGTCGCGGAAATTCTGGCAAAAAGCACGGTTGCATGGGAGCGTCGCCGTCTTCGCGGCGTCCTGTTTTCCGGCTGCCGAAGCTTGCGTGAACTGCCGAGCTAGGGAGTGACTCGCAGCAGAACAGGCGTCTGCTCGATCCACCTCCACCACTGTGCTGTGGCAGGATCGTGGCAGGCAACGGCACGACGCCTTTGCGACGTCGTAGGGTGGAAATGAGGACGCGATAAACGAATCGGTCGGGGACACTTTTGAGGCGCCGTAGTCGTGGGCCCTGGGCAGGAACGGAAAAGGAAGAGCCCTTGTGCGTGTGCCACCCGCAGAAGCACCCAGAGGAGGAGATCACGGTGGAGTCCCTGAAGAAGCTGATGCAGGAACCGCCACCGAGCCAAGAGGCCCAGGAGGAGCGGCGGCTGGCCGTGCTGGACCGCTTCCGCCACACCCCCTTTGCCGAGCTGCTCTCGTGCCCATCCGGGCCACCCCAGGTAAGTCCGTGCCCTCCCCTCTCACACCCGCGGTGGACATGTTCCTCCGAGACGGCGGCGTAAGAAGCACTAGGGCTGCGCGAATATTCAAATTTCTGAATATACCAATCTCACCAGCTCGTTTAACTACACCACTGCTGCCGCGATGCATCGAGGGAACTTAGTCTTTCTGCACATGCGACAAAATTGCTGGAGCTCTGCGCCTGCAGAGCATGAGACATCTGGGGCACTGCCACCTGCCTCTTGCGAACTAAAGTTATGGTGACCTCACACATGACCGTAATGCTTGGTGAGACCAGTGTATTGTAGTTTAGTGTAATTCACTATTCGATATTCACCTCTAGATGAACTGCAATATTTAAGGCTGGTCCACACTAGGGTGCCTTCATGTGCACTTCGCATAGAGTGATGCCAACTCCCTGTTTTCCTTTCCCACACCCTCTTCCACCGCCATTTTGTTCCTCTCATTGTTTCCCCGTGCGCCGGAAAGTGGCCTTTGTTTCCATCGGTAATCCCATCCAAGGGGGAGAACGCTAATCCTCCCTCCGTGGTTTCCACAACGCTGCTCCGATCTTGTGAGATAAGGTGCTTGTTTCCGGGAGGGTTATAAGCCCCACGGATTATCGCCGAGGAACAAAATGGCTGCTGGTTTGTGGGCGAGAGGTATTACAAAGGGTGGCATCACCCTAGCAAGGCGCACATGAAGGCTTCCTAGTTCACATATTGCCATTTTCTTACGTAACGTTACATTACGAAAGCTTACGTACAAGTCACCGGGACGTGTGCTTCGAATTAAGCGTGGCTACCAGTTCAAGGAGATAGCCTGGCACGTGGCATTCAGGACACGTTTGTTTCGGTGACTTCTACGTAATGCAAGAAAACATAAAGAATTGGTGCCGTGCGATCGCAGTGGGTTAGCCCCGTTGAGTACACTTCTCGCCATCATTCGAGCACTGCGGGGGAGCAATACCCACGAAGCTTTGCTGGTATCGCTTCCCCACAGTGCAGGAGTGCTCAGAGAGAAGCGCGCTCACAGGGCTAACCCGCCGCAAACGTGTGGGAGTAAGTATTATTATATAACGACTGCGGCAGCTGCAAAAAATAACTATGAAAGAAAATTTATCAACGTGCACACCATGAAATGTGGCTCTTATAACGCATTTAATATCCTGTCTTGTCCGAAAGCATATTATACAACTGCAAATTTTATTGCAGCAATTAAGCTGGAATCATTTTCACTCCCAGCGATATATTTCTTTAGTCTTAATGCCAAATATGTTGTTAAATGTGTTTGAGTTGACAACATAAAATTAACTTCAGCAGAACTGCATGCATCAAAAAGAAAGAAGAAACAGTAAATCTTATTTAGCTTCTTGTTTCCTGTCGATGGATGCTTTTGCCAATTGACATGCTCCTATACAATATTAGACGGCTAACAAACGGCGTAGGGACACGGACGGAGTAGAAGAGTGAAGCCAAACATGCTGCTGACTGACAGCTGAGCTTTAATGGATCTGACAAGGAGTGTAAATGCAGCATTTGCCTGAAAAATGACATATTCACATCCACCAACATCTAGAGAGTGTTCCCAGAAAGTTTAATTAATTTACATTGCATAGTTAATTTTTTATACATTGTTTTCTGTCCACCGAAGCTAAAGAAAAGGTAGGGTTCGGAGCGCTTTAAACATTGTTTTCCGTTACACGTTTTGGTATAAATTCCATTTTAGTCAATCTGTCGCTTGATAATGGCAATACAGGGAAGGCTCGTTCTTCACTTTTCCTGATTGAACTTTAATAAGGAATGTGGCTATGGAATTTTTTTGTCACTTTACGGATGTCTTTTATAAAAAAGGGTTGACATTTTGTCGAAGACACAGAAGACCAAAAAGTTGACCAATTTCGCAGAAGAGAAAATTTATAGAAATAAATGACCTTTTACAAAAGACTTCATAGCTGCACCCCCTGGGCATTCTGCTACATATCTAGCGAATAAAAATCTTAATTATTGTGATAGTTTTCTAACAATAGATTAACTAAACAATGTAAGCATGTTTCTGACAGCTGCTCTAATTTCCTTCCCACTTAACTGACAGACCTGAAATTTTGTTATGCACCCTCTAACATGACCACCAGCGTGCCTTGTAAATTTCATTAATTTTAAAACACGAGTTCAAAAGTTGACCCTCCCAGGGGGTTTAAGTGTTGTTTCTTTTCTTGGCTTTCGGTTCGCGCAAGTGCTGTATTTATGCTTGTTGTCAGATCCATAACAGCTCAGTTATAGGCAAGTGCCGTTTGTGCCTTCCCTCTTCTACTCTGCCCGTGTCACTGTGCTGTTTACCCTTTAAAATAAACTACCAACTCGCCCATTCATCAATGCTACAAATTTAGAACTTTGCATGTTTTTTTGCCATTAAGAGTTGCAGTCTTTTCGTCTTGTGTGGTCATCTTCACTAAAAAAGCTTTCCGCAGCAACCCTTTCTGCATCGACACAGCATTTGAAAATAATTACAAGAATTTATTTTTCAACTTTTGCCGAGCAATTCTTTTCGCAATATTTTGCCACCAAGGGGAGAGAGGCACAACGGCGCATGCACGCTACCTCTCCTGCCAAATGTATGCTTGCTTCCCGCAATGTTTGGATATAAAATGGCGTATCATTGCAATTCAGACGATTACCAGCGACCTCTGCACTTCCTCGTGCCCCGTTGTTCGGCACTGCCACGAGTTGCGTAGTTAATTTTTGCGACAGTGTGAATTGCGGGACATTTCAAAGATTTCGTTATTTTTTGCGGAACGCTGAAAATACCGATATCTCTCAATGTGGAACGGTCCCGCGAGTAGCGGGACGGGTGGTCACCCTATTCTCCACTGTCCTTACTCCGCCTGCATAACATTTTCCGCGCTAGTTCATACAATGTTGTTTTTCTGGGATCTGGTGGAGGCACTAGATACACCCGCTGGCAATATGAAGGGGAACACCTTACCTGGTTTCTTGCCTGTTTTACGGCTCCCTAAAGCTATATTAACTCAACGTTTCAAATGGTACGTGGCTTGAAGTCTAAACTTTGCGTTCTAGCCCTCTTCTGGAACAGGGCTTGTTCCAAAACTTGCAGGAGCGTCAAAAACAAGAAGAAGGCTGTTCACCTTCATGTCGCTCACGGGTCTACACCAAAATTAATTATATTAGCGAGTCTGGCTTAGAAAGTATTGTTTGTTCCGTTCAGAATGACCGAAATAAGACCAAGAATCTAGTTACCGGGAAAACTGTTTGCTACGCACATGAAAAGCAATGCAAGAAGCAACTTCGTGAAAAAACCATGAGCCACACGTGTCCTAATGCCTCTATTAAGGCGACAGCCTTATATGTCCTATCGTTCAGTCGACCTTCAAAGTCCCTGAGCGAAAGCACGTCGGCAACACGAAAGGTACCAAAACGCGACGGCGACACGAAACATACCAAAGAAACGGCACCAAAAGTGCGTCGTCAGAGAGCGTGCTGTCTTTGGAGTTCGCCATCACGTTTACATCAGCGCTTGGGCTTTCGCCTTCAAGTCTTTTTAGGGATATTGTTGCCGTGGACGCAGTCGGCACGAATCTGGGAAGCAGCCTTAACCAGCCATTACTACAGTAATGGGGAGCTCTGTATATCGAGAAAATTTAACGAAGCCCGCAGTAGAGGCAGGTGGCACGGGCCCTGGCATTTCGCCGCTCGGATAGAGATTGAAAAGAAAATCAAGCGTAATCTGTATATTTACTTTAGTTAGTTGGCTTCTTGTTTCTTCGTTGATTGCGCAGCGAAACACGGCAGTAGTGCGGCATCGCTTTCCCGTAGCAGCGCTCTGGTCGTCACCTTAGTTGTAGGTCGTGCTACGGAAGAAGGATCTGAATAAGGTTTAATGCTTTTTTTTTTCTTTTTATAGTTCATATATAGGCCAAGGTCAGGTGTACTCTGTTCAAATAGGGATTATTATCAACTTCAGATAGCAGCAGGTGGGCGCAAGTTTACCTGATTGCCGGCGGCGCAATTTGCTTCCCGCTGATGACGTCGCATTTGGACGTCGAGGAAAACGGGAGAAACTAAAGAATACAGTTTTGGTTTTGGTAGCGAACAAAATATGACTTTTCAGTAATTAGAGTGAATCTCAAGGAACGTGATAACATTTCGGAATCAAGAAGCCATCCGCATTGAGATGATGCCGATCGAGAAGTGGCCGGTTTCAGTCGCGCTCACTCTCTTCTCCGTGGTCGTGTGTTGTTTTCTATGGTTTAGACACAACCAACACAGATGATCAAACTCGTGGGTCATCGAAGGCACACACTCAATATAAGAAATGGACAAAAATATGATGCCCATTTTTTCTGGCTCCAAAAAGTTGCAAATACGTTGATTAAAAAAAAATCACTCAGCCTCGTGATTATTGATATCTTTCTCCTTTATGTTTCTTCTTCCTCCCCAGTCCAGTTTCGGTTTCGAGCAGTTGCGCTTTTTGACTTTATTAAAAATATAGGTGGGTGATTTCAGATAAGATCGACCAAAGGGTGGCTGGTCGACATTTTTAAATCAACTGATGTTTTTTTATGCCATTGTCTAGTGTCTGGTATTAACCAAGTTACTTAGTTTTGTCCAGAAAAGAAATTGGGGGACAGGAAAAATCGTAAGGCATGAAGAGGTGGACAGTTGCATTAATGCACACTAATGGAGGGGACACGTTTGAAAGTGAATAACTAAAAGGATAATGGTAGAAGAATTCTAATACCTTCTAAATACAAACTATGGGTACAGCTTGCTTGTAATATAAAGTAATAATATTTATTTAAATTTTATTTATTTCTCTAAAAATTGGCAAACATGCCTGCTCGTACGACAAATGGCAAAATTTGGAGGCCTGTATCCCATGAAATAATTTATTCATTATCTTACAATTTGCAGGTAGTATTCTACTTATATATGGCTATTATTTAAAAAATGAATAAGGTATTTGAGAGATACGATAGTCC